GGGCGGGGGCCTCCCCGGGACGGAGGTCGGAAACGCTCCTCGAGAAAAAAAGGGGTCGGCCGGGAGCGCCGGGACGGCCGGAGAGGGAGCCGAGGCGGGGGGGGGGGGCTCCCCCCGCGGCCCCCCCCCGCGTCTTTTCCAGAAACCTAGCCGTCTCCTCAGCTCGCCCCTTGCACTTCTCTGAGGACAAGGTAGCGGTCCTTTTGTCTTCTGTGAACAACTTTTACTGTTAAAGCTGACTTTTTTTCCCCTGGGTTAATCATGATGCTGAAAACCTGGTTTGGCTTTTTACTGCCCAAAAGTAAAGCCCTTGGTCTAATGGTAGGGTGTCTGCTGAGCAGGAGCTGTGAAGAGGGGATGCCTCCCTAATGGCGGTGAGGCAGCGTACCTTGTAACTAGCTGCTTATCCACAATTAATTACTTATCTAACAGCAAATTAGAGCGTTTTGTCTACACCAGGCTTTTCTATCCAGGCACCTAACCACAGGGGGGAAAAAAGGCCAGCATAAGTTTTGCACATGTGAAAATAACTTTGGTGTGGTTTGGGTTTTTTTTTTTTTATCAGTACAGCAAACCTTAACATATTTCTAAAAGGCTAGAGAGTGGCAGATGTGGTTCCCTGAAATGCAAGAGGTTGGTCTCCCCTAGCACGCACGTGCTCTGGGGACCTGCCTTCACTCTCCTTCCCAGCACAGAGGAGCAGGCTGGTATGGAGGCCAGGTTCAAGCACATGGATCTGTGGCTGTTGTTGTTTCCCCAAAGGACAAGAGAGAAGCAGTTGAGTACTTCACATTTGCTTTAAGAGTATTTTCCCAAACCATGTGTGGTGTTTGGCAAGGGCAGGAAGTGGTACTTGGAAAGCTTTTTAAAAGGTGAAGTTGAGAATGCATTTAACACAGCGTACCGGTAACATTAAGTATGTGAAGAATTTTGGGATGGGTTGGGTTAAAAATTGTACACCAAAGAAACTCTTGAGACATGTGGGTGGAATGATTTTGCTACCAGGAAACCCAGGCACTGAGAGTGACTTGTGTCTGTGCTAGCATATCTCCTGTGGTGACTCTGTATTGTGTTATTTATTTAGAGTGCTGGAGTGACTTGTATATATGGACGCAGGGAAGAGTAGAATAGGGTATTGGATAACGCTGGTGGAAGTGATCAAATACTCCCCAGAGAAAAACAGAAACTTCTGATGTGTGAAATAAGGAGCACTGTTTGGAGGAATGATGACTGTAGTTAAATATTTACTTTATGACATCAACACACTGCAGTTAAGAGGTGCTTGATGAATATGTAACTTACAAGCTGGGGTGGCTCTAATGCTTTTTAGCTGGTGGAGATCTCAACAGAAGATTTTGTAGTATGATTGTGTATGTACTTAGAGCACAGTGGAGGACTAAGATAATATTTTATAAGAAAAGAGCAGTATAGATTGTTTGTTATCCAGATAATACTAAGGAGACAAGAATACTTAGTTGCTACATGTTGGAAAACAGGAGAAACTGCCATTACTTTGTAAAGGACCTTACAACTTCCTCCTGTGCACCTCTACTCAGCCCTCACCCTGAGCTCCGACGTGACTGTTTCTGTGAGGATGGTGTCAACCAGCGAAATCCCTGCTGAGAGCTACAGTGCAAGGGCATGAATGCACAAGAACTCTGTGGTGCGTTTAAGTAAAATACCTGCATACGTATATGGAAACTTTTTATGTGTCATAACAACTTTGTATGAGGAACCTCTCTTGTACAAGCAACAGGTAAATCTCCATTGCGTTATGCCACCATTACATATCATTAAGAGAGAGGGAAAAGATTTTAGAATTGCTTATATATGTTGTCTGGGGAGTGGAGGTGAATCCCCATATCTTCAGGGCAAGAGTGAATCCTGGGCCCAGCCCTGCCTGCATCAGAGGAGAAGGCTCCAGGCTCCCGGTGTGGACTGAGAAACACATCAGCCCCATCCGAACTCTCTGCTGGACCTCACACCTGCTCTGAAGGTGGAGGAGCAATGCAGTAGAACTCCGGTGGGAAAGGCCCTCAGATCTTTAATGCTCACCGATGGTTACTCAAATGTTTTTGCCTGTGTGGGTCTTAGCAGAAAATTTGTAAGTGTCTTCTGTCTGTGTGTGCATGGGTGCCTGTGCGTGTGTGGTGGAGGGTTTTCAAAACCATACCATACAAAACATAAACAGTATAGATTATTTATTATTGAGATGCAACAAGAAAAGATTAAGGCGTTACACACTGGAAAACAGGAAAGGGTGGTCTTTACTTTGGAGAAGACTCTCCTGTGTGCCCCTCTCTGAGCTCAGCCTGCGTTCCCACATGCCCATCTCTGTGGTCTTGAGGGTTATCTGTGAAGTCCTCATGGAGGGCTACTCTACAAGTACGCAGATATGTGAAAACTCTGTAACATGTTTATATGTTAATGTCTACAGAAAAATGAGTGAGAAACCAGTAATGGCAAACATTGTAACAAGTGTGCATGAGTCCTCTAGTTCCTTCTTGTATTGATGAGGTAAACCTTTCTTGTGTTATGCCATCACTACGTATCTTTATTAAGGCAGAACAAGGAAAGACTTGGCAAGGTTTATCCCCGCCCCCCCATCAGGTGTGGATTGACTCCATTATTCCCAAGGTAGGAGCCACCCCTGTTTCTGAACTATATCTGAATTTTTGCTGTCCCAACCCTATGGCTCAATTTTGCTGTTTAAAGCAGCATTACAGCAGCAGATGTAAAGGAAACAACAGTGTACACAGCTTAAGCTAATTATTATATAAGGAAATATTAAATTTTTAGGGTTATGCTATAGGTATAGCATATAGCTATATGCTAAAAGTGTGCTTAAATTCTGGTTTGTTATACAGATCATAGAAAAGATAAATGTTAGAAAGGGTGCAGCAAGTGCTTAGAATAAACAGAATATCTCCTGTGTCTATGCAGTTTTCAGCACGGCAGAACAATGAGTAGCTTTTGCCTGTTACTTTCCTACTTGTGAAGTAATTTTTCAGGTAAAATAGCCTTGATTAGCAAGCTATGTGATGAAGAAGCTCAGAAAGACGGAATCATCAGTAAAGATGTTATTTTCCTCAACCTTTTCAGATAAATACCTGTAAACAATATAGTAGATATGTAATTAGAGATATTCTGAGAGGTGAAAAATAGGAAATTAATTTAAATCACTTGCTTTTAACATTGAGTGAATATAAATTCATGTTTCTAAAAATATCTCTAATTTATTGGCTATACTAGCTAGTATGCTTATTTACCTGTATTTTAAAACTTCACTCATTACAGTGGTGTTTGGTAAAATATTGTTGGAGAAATTAAATATATTATGCTGTTGAAGAATTGAACTAGAACTACATATCTCCTCACAAGAGGAGGGTGATATTAATGTAAGATGTTTATGTAGTAATTACTTGTTTCTGCATATCCTGATTACTTTGTTGCAAATTAATAGTGGCGTATTCATTTTTGTGTAGTAAAGGATAATAGGCTTTACTGATTTCTGCTTAGGAGGACTTTGGGTCAGGAATGCATCTAATTCCTTGTTCACATTGTGCTATCAAGGATTTTCTTTTGATTGTTTGATACAGAATCATGAAAAGTAACACCCTTTATCTCACCCCAATCTGCAAATATATCCTGCCATAATTTGAGTATTAAATTTTTTGTAGTTATTGTTCAGTTGCTCACGTAGTATTTATCAATTGATATGATAAACTGTAGATAGAACTTTTAAGCATTTGAATAAGGAAAATGACACAAATGTATAATTGAGAATGACCTCTCTCATGGACTTCGGAAGCGTGTGCATCTGGTTTGTTCTTTGTAACGGTTTATTTGATGTCCTGAATCATATGGTATAGATTTGTCCTTTATACAAAACTATTCGAAGTTCTCATATTTGTTAACTAAGTTTCTGTCCAGGTAGCTTGATTTAGAAGTCATGCTTTTTTACTAAAGGTAATCTGATGTAACTTAGATTTTAATTATTGGTTTTGTACAGTTAACATCAAAGGGCTTTGACTGTCGCATTCAGCAATAAACACTT